TTGAAAGCTTGTTATCTTCAAAGTTGTGATGAGAAATAGGGCTAATGCAGAAACTGTACAGCTCCCAATTTCAGTAGGAGGACACAGCAAGAAAGTAACAAAATTTATTTAAGAAAAGCAAAGCTTTATAAATTGTTGTGTGGGGATAAACAGAAGGATACTAGATTTGAGACAGCAGTCCCACAAATGTTAACAAAATTTAAAGATTTTCTAAAATGAAGAAACCCCCAATCATTAAACACTTTGTTTCAGTTGGCAATGAAGTGTGAAAGTAAAATATTGAAGGTAGAATATCCACAAGCACAAGGTGGATTTGATCAAAATTTTCACTACAAGGCTAACAGGCAGAGTTTAAATATACAGGAAGCAAAAATAGCCACAATGGTGAATCCATACAAGAAAGGTTACAAATTGCTGCATAGATCAAAGTGCTATAGGTATGATGCCATTAAAGAAAGAATTATCAAAGAACATATTAAAAGCATGTTGGAAAATAAGATCATAATACAGGTATTGAATGCCTCATTAATTTAATTTTTTTTTCATCTTTCATTCCTTCTCTTTCTCATTTTTGGTTTAGCGGCCACCTAACAGAAGTAAGTTTAGTTTGGTAAGTTAGTTAGTGCTGGATAGGAAAAAGAATGATTATTTGATATTGCATTTTAAGTCATGGAGATTTAATGCTTATTACTGAAAAGTAAACAAAATTACAGAGTAACCTGTTTATTATTTGCTTAGTATGGAAGAAATTGTCAGAAATATAAAAGGTATGCACTATACAGCTGCATTAGATCTAACATCTGGATACTCATTGCATTAAGGCTAGTAGATGTAAATAAAACAATTTTATACCATAATCGAGAATGTATGAATTCCTACAGATGCCTTTTGGGGCTGTATAATAACCCACTGATTTTTCAGTGTGCCAAGGATTACTTGACAGATAATAACATCAGAATCAGCACAAAAAATGTAAAGGCCCTATGCAAAATATTTTCCTTGTTAAAAAAAAGAGAAGATTAATACTGAAAATTGTAATTTCATGAGTCAGGAATTAAGGTATTTATGATTTAAAGTAATGGACGAAGGACTTAAAATGAGTTGAAAATTCTTAAGGTGAAAAATTATCCCCAAGACAATGAAAAGTGAGTTAAGTTCCAAATCTAAAAAAAGCCAGTATAAATTTACACAGATCCCTCAGTTTACTCAACACAAGCCGTTTTAATACAAAATAGGCATGCAACAGCATATTTTTGTAAAACAATAAGCCCAGCATAAAAACACTATTCTGCGACTGAACATGAAGGGCTTGCATGCATCTGTTTAGTGTGTATTTTGGCAAAAAACCCTTCTGCATCTTCACAGATCATGCTACTATGAACAAATTGGCAGGCATGAAAAATTTATCCCCAGGAATAACTAGGTGGACACAAGAATATAAATTAAAATTCAAACATCAGTCATAAAATGAGAAGAAAGCTGCAAATGCAATCTTTAAATCTGAATAGATAAAGACAGAAATAAAATCAGTTGTAATATATCCATTCTAAACTCATCAGAAATAATTATTGGAAAGTTACACAGGATTCAGAATTTGGATAAATCTATGCATCTTACAATGATTCATAGAATCTTAAGGCTGTAAATGAGGCAGAAATTAAGGATAAGGTCAAGTACTATGAAATTATCAATAACATTTTGTTTTATATGAAAAGTGCAAAGGAGAATCTAGAATTAAGGCCAGTCTCCAGCTGTTTCGAGATTAAAAGGTTTTGCATGAACTGCACGGTAGTCCGATTCTGGTGCACCTGAGTGTGTAGAAAACAATACAAAGAGTTAGGGAAGCTGTTTTCTTCCTTAAGTTACAACAAATTACACATGAAAAGGTTCAGAGCTGTGTTAAACCCCAGAAATGTAAATATGTAAAGTTCATGCTGGCCTGCTACTTAAATAGCATATAATCTAGCTTCCATAATGAGATCTTTGAAATAAATATGTTAGGACCTCTTACCCCAGAAGCCAGAAAGCATGCTACCTTTTAGTCATTCTTAATCATTTTTTAATGCTATGAAAGTTAGAATAATTTAATTAGGCATCAGCTAATTTAGATGAAGACACTTTTCAAAAAGCACATATTTAATTTTGAGGCCCCACTTAAAATAATTTTGGGTAGTGGGAAGCAATTTGTTAGTAATATTTTTGGAAAGCTGTGCACAGACCTGGAATTTAAAAATAACCATGTATAGACATCAGTCCAAAAATGCACCTAAATAAGGAATGTAGCACAGATAATTGATTGCTATGTTAATATGTACCACAAGAGCTGGGATGACTACAGTTACGAATAAGCAGAGGCATGAAGTCCGCTGAGCATGAGGCAACCGATAAAAAGAAAACAGAGTTCTTTTGGGGACATAAATCATGATACCTTCAGATAAGTTACTTTATGATCAGGAAGGGGGGGGGCAGATTTCAAGAAGAAAGACATTCAAAAGTTAGCCGATGAGGCACTCAAAAACATCACAAAAGGCTAGAGTAAAGTAAATGCTATATTATGATAAAAGGCAAAACAAAGCCAATATAAAGATTGTGGATAAAGTATTAAAAATAAAACATAACAGCTGTCCACAGAAAAGTCAAAAACAAGTAAATTTAATTTAAAATTCAGGAACCCTTATATGGCAGTGAGTATTAAGGAAAATGTAGTGATATTATGAAGCCAAAAACAAAGCGCAGATGATTTCTAGAAATATGAACCAGGTGTAAAAAATTGTATGATAAAGATGACATGCCCTCGTTGAGAGAAATGGGAGTTAGTCAGAAATAGAATGCAGGCAAATGTGGCAGATGGGTGTAAAAAAAGGTCTAGAAAGGAGTTCAAGAAAGAAGGTCACCCAGCAAATTGAAATACGAAAGGTAAGCAGCAAGAGGTCAGAGAGCAGGTTTCAGTAGCAAAAAGGCAGAAGCAAGCAGAACAGGGATGCAGAAACAGAATCGAGGCCAGAAGAAGAGTGAGATACTTTGCTATAATAGGATAGAAGCAACAAGGCATCGCCAAAAATGAATTATAGGAAAAATTTGAAGGAAAGTCAAGCGATCAACTGTGCAAAGAAGTTAAACACCTAGGGTGCAAGAATAAGCAGACCAAATACAAATGGCTGCGAATTAAGCAAATATACTTGCCATCAGCAGGGCAAAAATGGAAAGCAGATTTGCAAATGGATTCTGAGCCCTGTTACCAAAGAGTTAGCTTGCTAAATAGAGTCCAGACACTGATGATGCAGTGCCTACAGTAGATGAAGATCAAGGTGATGCCAGAGTAAGGTAAGCAATCTATGGTTGACAACATTTGAGAAACACTGCAGTAAGAAAAGCAATCTATAGTCAACACAGTTTGGAGATGTCAGAGGCAGGAAAGTAGTCTATGACTGACACCATTCAAAAGACAACAGAGGCAGGAAAGCAATCTAAGACCAAGATTGTTCAAGAAATGATGGACTAAGGCAAGCAGTGAATGATTGACTTTCAGATAAGGTGTGAAAGGTGGATGACAGACTGTAGTCAAAATGGAATATTGGTTTTGGTTTGGTTTGGTTTATTAGATTATGGCAAAGCACTTGAGGGCTATCTACCTTAAGGGAGGGATGCCTTCATGGAGGACTTTTTAAGGGAAACTGGCTCGTATACACGTTATACATGGGGAAAACCACGAAAACGCCCATGCAGACAGCCCGTTCATGGGATTCGAACCTTGGAACGAACTACCAGTTTTCAGCGACTTTAATCACTCGGCTGCTGGTGGGCCCCAAAATGAAATATTGAAATGTATTTAAAACTAAACTAATGTTAACAAATGTATTTTAAAAAATTCTAATCAGATGAAAATATCTGGATAAAATGCACATTTCTAATGCTAGAGCTCTAAAAAGATACAAAAATTACACTGTTTCGCATATGTACTAAATGTTAAAATCTAAATTTAGTGTTCTTATTTTAAAAACTGTAATCAGAATTACGAAAATTAATGGTGTAAAAAGGCAGCATAAGGTTCTGAGACGACTACTCATAAGTAAAGAGCTCCCGTTTTCAGACATTAAGCAGCTTTACATCACTATGTTGTTCTTGAATTTAGTTGCTTGGTACTAAAATATAATGTAGCATGGATTAGGGGGTAGTTGAAGACGTTAACAGAACATATACACTTTGATAGTTTCAGCACAAACAACAACAGCTATAAAGATGATCAGGAAAGTTTGTACATAATTAAACTGAGATGAAATGAATATCTTGTAGTACAATGAAATGTGTTTTTGCACATAAATACTATGTTTTCTTCTTTCCAGGTTCAAGTGAGAATTATGCAAATTTGATTGGTAAGTTGCTTGGTATAAAGTGAAGGAAGGAATTTGCAACAAAAAGAGTTGAAATAATTAAAAGTTTGCTGAGCATACAGGGGTTGCACTTTCCTGCTATTTAGAGGACATCAACGCTCTAGCTAATCTACTAGATGTTAGCATAGCTGGTAAGTTACTCTTGCTTAGATTTTGTCTGTCTGATCCAGCATGTTGTTTCCTTGATATGAAATACTCGATCCATGAGTACTGTTGATTGTATCCATGAGTATTTTTTAACAAAGTTTCAACTTTGCTTCTCTGCAAAGATGTGAAGAGTGGTATTTTCTTTGGTATTTTAATGCGACTATCACAAGTGAAAAAGTAGAACTGTTTGTCTATTTGTTTACATAGTGTAACTCACATCAAAGCTTTAAGGAATACTGAGGGGTAAGAACTGAAATTAAGTAATTAACTAGACAGAGGGAACTTTTTTTTTTTTTTACAACTGCAGGTTATTTCCTCTAGTTGTATAACTAGAGGATCTTCTGTCTAGTTAATCACTAGAAACAGTTAACATAGTTGTTACACAATTACAGGTAACACATGCAAATTTGATTAAATGCATTAGGTTAATTTTTTTAAATAAGATTAAAAACGATACCTCACCTGCTTATGAGCATGATCATAGGAATTCATATGATTATCAAACTCATGATACTTGTAATATTGTTTTTCACATAACTCACAAAAGAAGTTAGCCTTCAAGCTTGCAAGACCTTCTTGTACAGCCTTTTCTTTCTCCTGAACAGCCTAAAACAAAACAAAAATTGCAATGAAAAATAAGGTAAAATTTTAAAGCATGTGTAAATAGTCCCGAAAGCAAGTATAATTCTTATCAAGTACAATTTGAGAAAGTATACTAACTTCTTAAATTATAGTTTTTTTTTTATGTTTTTCACTGGTTTTAATAACTTTAATAATTCAAATATACTATACATGGATAGCAAAGATATGTTAGTGATAAAGAGTTTTTAATTGTAAATCTATAGCAACAGCAACATATAGGAAATACATGAATACATGGCAGAATTAGACACTGGTGCTGATTAATCCAGGGAAAAACAATCTGAAAAAAAAAAAAAAAAAAAAAAAAAAAAACACCAGGTCAATTTGTCCTCTCTAATACAAATTTATTTCTATTATCCTATATAAGTCACAGCTCTTCAATGCTACTCTGAAATTTGTTATTGCAAAATTTGCTGTATAAAGTAATAAAATTAGAATGAATTATTGCCTAATTCAGAGTTATAGCTGGATATTACAAATCGAAATTAATACTGGATTTTTCTCAGGACTGAAGAAAATATTCAGTAGTAGCATTATATTAAAATAAGTGAGCAACTTATGCCATCCAGACAGCCACAAGGTTTCATTCACCAGCTTTGTTACATACATAAACACATATGCTATATTTCAGTACAGTCAAAAGTCGTTAATTCGGACACCCATAATCCGTAATGATCTATAATCCAGACCTCAAAGCTAAAAACTTTCTGCGCATGCGCCGCGTTGGCACATGCGCGTGCGCGTAAGACCTTGACTACTGCGCATATGCGTGTGCAGAATATGTCTTCACCTGCGCGTTTAATGTATAACGGATGGTGTAAGCTAAAATTATCTAATTATCTATTTCAGTTAATGCTAATGATTGCATTGTTCCTTAATCTTCGAATTGGATCCCGCTTGTTATTTTTTGCAGACTGTAAGAACAATTTTATAAAAGTAAACTTGAACTTTCGATTATGTCAAATAGAATTTCCGATTCTGGAACTTCCAAAGGATCTACAAAACGAAAGTATGTTTCGATGTCCAACAAACAAAAGTGGAATTGCTGCAAAAAATGGATAAAGACATGAAAGATGTGACAGAGAGGTTAGTGAAAAACGAAAGATTCCGACTGACAAGTTAGTCGGTATTCTTGGCACAGCAATTAACGGGACTTGAACAGCGGAACTTTGTAACTGAACAAGAAATTATGTCTGTTTATAGAATTAAAGAGAAAGTATTATCACATAAAACGAAGCAACTTAAACAACTTACATTGAAAGAAATGTTTAATAAAGTAAACAAATAAATATTAACCTTTTTTTTTTTTTTGGTAAATTTTGATACCCTTTAGATCATAATTGTTCTTTATTTTATAAATTACGGTTTCATATTTTTTATTTTAGAATTTCTGCATGCCATCTTACGAGATTTAAACTGATGATCTATAATCCGGAAAAATCGATAATCCGGAATCGCCGAAGTCCCGACGAGTCCGGATTAACGACTTTTGACTGTATTTTTTATCTTATATAAGAATTTTTGCAATTCTCACTATGGCAACACATAAGTTATATCTGAAAATAAAACATAGTCTACTTTTCATCTACAAAATTATTTCATTCACTTTGGGATAAATACAATGCTTCTAAATAGGACACAATAAATTACTTGAATTCAATGGAATACAGATCATTTGCACAAGATGCATTTTATAATAATAAACATGTTTCTTAAAATTATTCATTTGCAGGATAAGATGATTCCCATATTGGATTCATCTTAATCAGGAATAATGAAAGATTTTAATCTGTTACTTGAAATAATTAATTTTTAGAGGCAGCTCTCATCTGCTTAGACAGCTAGGATGAATAACAGCTTTAAAGCTTCAGTTAATAATAACAGTAGTAACTATATAATAACAGCAAAGCTTTAAAAATGCTTCCATGCAATTATAAAGTGCTGTTAGCAATGACAGAACATTTCTAATTACAAATAGAACTGATATGTTTTATGCATAGTGATAATACTGATGAAGTATAGTTCGCTTTAACAATATGCTTTAGCTGAAAGATCCTCTTCCTGGTGACATTCAGCACATAACAAGAAAACAATTGAAGAAAATAAGCTTGAAACATTGGAAAAGAACAAGATACAGTTAAGCCTAAGCTTCCTAAAATGTTCCCATTTGGTGCAATGACAACCATTATATACCAGGTAGCCAAATTTATTCATAAGTATCCTTCAACCACCAAAAGCTAATTATCATTAGCTTGCATGGAATCTTCAGGTCTTACAAATATTAAAAAATTTTACATAAAAGTATTAGCTACAGTCTCTGATGAAAGTTGGTGTTACCATATGGGTACGATTTTAAATTCTCTATCAAACAGTATTACTACACAACATAGTAATAATAATCTCCTCAACAAAAACATTAGGCTAAAGTACACATTATGGGATGACCCATTAATATACCCATGCAGTGGAATCTCTAGTTTTTCTTTATGCATAAATGATCATTTTTTAAACAGCCAATAGTACTATTCATGACGGATGATAATGCAAGCATAGCAGCAGAACATTGTAGTTTGACTTCTCATTTTGAATTTTTGAAGTAAGTAATAACAGAATAAGGAGTAACAATCTTTACTTCTTGAAATCATGGTTTAATTACCAAGTATTTCTTATTTACAGATATTAAGCATATCGTTACCACATAGCTGCAAAAAAGAATGTTACAGGATTTCACTGATAATTTAAATTAGCAATTATGTATCATCTAATACCTTAGAAAATGTTATCCTATCAACAATACATTCACAGCAATTTAAAAATCTGCACATTACTGTTGCTGAGATGCTTTATACTTCAAGAGAATTTCTCTGTCTTTCAGCTGTTTTTTCAGGCAGCTTAAGGACACTATTCAAGTGTTGCACATAACTTCAAGTCAAGATGAAGCGATGATGTAAATTAGCAGAGACTTTACTCTGAGCAATTATATTTCTGCACAAGAAGACCTCAATTCTTGAATTTTCATGTAAAAATTTATACCTTGTGCTGAGATACATTAAAAAAAATTAAAATTCTGAGTATGAATGTCATATTCACATAGATTAAGCCAGAACACATTAGCAAAATAATCCAGTCAATATTCAGTCTAATTTTAACATATATCCCAACACATAACATAATCAACATCAATCTATCATCAGCATCACTGAAAGAATCAGATCAGAAATCACATCATCACATCAGAAAGGCAATTGCATCAGATCAATAATTACATACTGAAGTCAAATACTCTATCTGCAACATGAAATCTCACGTAAATATCTAAGAATATCTGCCATGTGGCAATATAAAATATAAAAAAATGATCAGTTTACAGGAAGAATACATGGAAAAGTAATCCTTAGAGTTAGAAATGCTAGAGTTGATTTTCTTTTTAAACATTTAGTTTTTATTTAATTTTTTTTTTTTAAATTTCTTAGCAGACGGGTACTAATTTAAAAGTTATTTCCCATTTTAATTTTTAATAACCTAACTTATTTAGCATTTACAAGTTTGGTTATCATTTGCATGCTACTTTACAAGTTTAGTTATCATTTGGATGGTACATTACAAGTTTAGTTATTTGGATGCTACAGTCTTATTCATTTCTGTCATTGGTTCTTGCAGCAGTGTGCGGCATAGGCGGATTTCCCATCAGATGTGCTATTCACGGACGAGGCAATTTTCTCATAGGAGGGGCATCTTCAATAGCCTCAACATGCACGTGTGGGCAACTCATAATCCACATGGCACACGTCCACATGTATTCCAAACCTGCTTCTCATTGAATGTGTGGGCGGGTATTGTTAATGACTACCTCATAGGCCCATACCTCTTACTTGCATATACAAATAATGGCTTATGTTATCATATTTTTCTATAAGAGGTGCTACCGTAATTGCTGCAGGATGTTCCGGCTGTCGTTTGTGATCGCATGTGGTTCCAACATGATGGTGCACCAGCCCATAACCACGTGCGGGTCCGCAATTACTTGGATGGGACATTTCTGGGCTGATGGATTGGCCGTGGTGAACCCGTTCGATGACCACCCCATTTGCCAGATTTGTCCAGCTTGGATTTTTTTTTAATGGAGCTATCTGAAGAGCATCCTTTACGAGACTCCTGTTGACTCACTGGAGGACCTTGTTGCACGACTATCCATTGCAAGCGTGCGCGAAATGCCTGTCGTTTTTTAAAATGTTCGTCAATCCCTTCTGTGACGTTACCAAGCATGTATTACTGCTGGGGTTACAATTTTGAACATTTATTGTGAATACTGTATTGCTACAAAGAAGCCCTTTGCGTTGATTTTGTACATAAACACATTTTCCTCTCGTGTCGTTTTTTTGCATTCCTGCCTTAATCCATCACTTTAGACCCTACACTCCTATAAAAAAAAAAACATGTTTTAGTACGCTGCACCACCCCTCTAAGTTTGTCCTATGATCTATGAAACACCCTGTATATATGTATAAATGTATATATACACACACGCACATATGGTTACAACACAATATTTACAACATACATTGAACAGCAAAACATTATGACAATCTACTCAATAACACATTGCACGACCTTTGGCCTACCAAACAGCTGCAACTCGTCTTGACATGGATGTCATAAGTTCTTGGTAAATGACTGGAGACAAGTTGTACCAAATGTCTAAGCAGCAGTCATGCAAAGTCGAGATATTCTGACATAGTCATGTTTGAGCTCTGAACTGCTACTCCATCACATCCCAAATGTGCTCTATTGGGTTAATATATGGCGAGTTAGTCAGCCAGTACATTAATTGGAATGCATACTTATGCTCCTTGAACCAAACCAATACAACTTGAGCCTTGTGAAATGGAGCTGTATCCTGCTAGGAGATTCCATTTCCAGTTGGGAAGACAGACACAATGTAAGAAGACAACAGATCTGTAGTT